TGTGTTTAGGTGATGAGTGATTTTTGACCATTTTTAAATTACATAACAATTAATTCGTATCTTATCCGACTTATATACTGTGGCAATGGTGACGACATACATACACATCTATCTTAACTTGCTGGATCATTGTTTGCATTTTTTTGTTTTTGGTTTTTTAACTTACTAACTTGTCCTATTGGAATGTGGCGGGACTTGAGAGAGGGTATGGGAGGGAGGATTTTGTTTTATTCTTCTTTTCTTTGTCATTATCTTTTCTATTAAATGCTTATAATTCAGTGTTCTTCTTTCTTTATTTTCTGGTGGTAGTGGTGGTTGATTGTTGATTATAATTGCTATTAAATTCAATACTCCATTTTTTTCTCTATTTTGTTTTAATTTTCGGTTTTCTTGAAATATTCTATTTTTTGGAATATATGTAATTTGTTTTGTATATTGTATGTATGTTATGTGTTTCTGTTTGTCATATTGTTTTCTCTGTTTCAAAATTACACAATTGCTAATATTAGGTTCTTCTATTAAAGTTGTAATTACATATCTTGTATTTTATAGCCTACTTTTAGGAGGGGTGTTTTGTTTATTTTTTTGATTTCAAAAATATCCTCAAATATTGTATTGGTTGGTTTGTTTCTTTCTTCATTATGCTGTAGTAGAGTACTGTAATAATATTTTTCATATATATATATTTAAGTTTTGTATTATTAAATTCTATGGGAGATTGCTTTTGGTTTTCTTACTTTTGTTATGGTGTTTGTTAATGTTAGGTAGGTATGTGTGTGTGAGATTGTTTTGGATTAGGATTTTTTTTAAATGAATACAGTCGAGTTTTTTTTCGAAAGATAAAATATTTCGTTAAAAATACTTTTCTCTAAGGCAGTATTGTCTCCAGTTCTACTTTTTCAGAAAAATTGAAAGTCGACATTATACAGGGCGAGATGAAAAAACTGCATCAAACTTCAGACTGTTGTCATATTTAAGCCACTCGTCCGACAGTTGTTAAAATTTTTCCAGTGACAGCTCATTATATTGTTTACAAGCGTACAAAAACATTTTGGTGAGAATTTTCCAGAAAGAAAGTTATTCATTGAGGAAATTCAAGCATGATTTTTGGCTGGAAACCCACAAGTGGCTATCGTTAGAGCACTCCAGCATTTAAATCTCGTATCCTTACCGTGATATTCAAGGAAGTGGACGGAAGAAAACAGCAACATCAGCAGAAATGGTTCGAAAAGTAAAGAAGCGATTTGATCGAAACCCGCGTCGCAGTGGCCGAAAAATGGCTCGTGAGCTCAACATATCGCAATATTCCATTCGGCAAATATTGAAAAATGAGTGATTGAAATTCCAAAAAGTGCAAGAACTTACACCGTAACAGAAAGAAAATAGACTCAAAAGAGCTAAAGATTTGCTTCGCTTGGCCGAAAGTGGTGAACTGCCAAATTTGGTTTTCTCCGATGAGGAAACATTCGTTGTCCAGCAGTTTGTTTACTTGCCAAAGAGGTCAGCTGAAAATGTGCACCTTCGGTTGGCCACCATAACTCAAGCGCCGGCCATGGTGATGGTGTTGACCGCCATAACAGCCGATGGTCGCTCTCCGCTCATATTAATCGATCGTGGCATCAGAATAAATGTCGAATATTATCGCGAAAATATTCTGGATGGTGTATTAAAGCCTTAGGCACGCAAACATTTTGGCCGCAGACTTTGGACATTACAACAGGACTCAGCATCATCGAACTAAGCACGCGCCACTAAAGAATGGTTACAAAATGTGGTTACTCGCTTCATTTCCAGCGCACAATGGCCACCAAAATCTCCGAATACCAATCCGTTGGACTATTGTGTCTGGAGTATTTTGGAAAGCAAGCAAGAATGTGAAGGTTTTATTGAACGTTTGAAGGCCATAATTCGTGCCAAAGGTGACCAATTCGAACAAATCTAAACATATTCTAAGATTTGATACTATTTCTGACATCTTCGATTAGGGTTGATTAGGATTAAAGGGGGATGGCAAACCTTATATATCCTCAATATATCAATACAATGTATGGCGAAGGGATTAATAGCATTAAGACGACGAAATGTATTGGAACACATAATTCCAAATTGTCAATTCATGTAGATTATGCAATGGCCTTTAGAGACCACAAAACCGTTTTCAAAGAAATCTGACGTTTTCCTCAAATGCAGATTAGAAATCCACACACATCCCCTCCATTTTAAGTTGGCAAGTTAAATTTTTGTACTCAATTAAATAATTTCTATAATTCTGTGTATAATTTTCAAACAACATTAAAGAAATTATCTCTGGTGATAGATGTCATATTTTCTAACAAATAATCACTGGTGAAATAATGCCCTCAGAAAAGTTTTTTTTTATAATTTTTCAATTAGAGTATTGACTCGACATACTTTTAGACATCTAGTGTCAAAAACCTTGTTTCTTTGTGTGAGAATGATATAGAAAATGGAAAAAAAAATATCGGAAGTTGATGATGAATATTACATGTGGATGAATTCTAATGATACTGCTTTGGAGGTGGATATAACACACTTATGTTCAATTGTTTTTTATTTTTTTTACTTTGTTTTATTGCGATACATATTTGTTTTCTTTGTAAATGCTGTATTATTTCATTGTGGTTTGGTAGTAATACAATTTTGTTTTTTTTGTTTTGTTATTTAGTTTATTCTTTTGTGCTAAAAAGTTTATTTGGTCTTTAGTTAATACATTAAGAAAAAAATATATATATTGTATGTATATAATAATAATAATAATAATTGTAAAGAAAAAAGTTTATAGATATACATTGTGACGTTTAATTTCTGTTCAGTTGTTGTTGTTATTTTTTTTTGGGAGGGTTCTTTCCCTTTCTTTAGCAATTGAAAATGAGCAAAATACTTTTGTTTCATTATATTTGTTACTATATTGAGATTCTTAATTTATTTCTTTATTGGGGGAAATTGGGTGGGGGTGTGGCTAATGATGATGATGGGAAAATGATTCGAATTACTATTACTATTTTAAATGTTAGTCGTATGTAAGTCTTTGTTTGTTTTGTGTTTATTTGGTGTGTGAGATTTGTATTTATTTTTTAATTTATTATTTTTTCTTTTCAAATACATTTAAATGTGTCTGTTGTATGTTAGGTATGTATGTCTTTTGTTATTATTATTATTAATTAATCTTCTCTTGCTTTTTTTACAGATACTCATTTTGTACATTTAAATTAACATTTTTGTTTTAAATTTTCTTTTTTTTTAATTTACTGTTTTTTATTCTATAAAGCAACTGCTCTTTCATTCTATCATTTGCACGGGGATTTTATGTAAGTTAAACTTTGAAAATAGTTACAGATTTTTAAGAACATATATATAATTACATGTTTTAATATGAAAAATGCCAAGATGTTTACTATTCAGATAAAAAATTAAGGATTTTTGGCAAATTTCAAATGTCCAATAAAAAACATTAAAATTATTCTGATATACAGGGTAAGATGAAAAAACTGCAAACAACTTCAGACTGCCGTCATTTCTAAGCCACTCGTCCGACAGCTGTTAAAATTATTCCAGTGACAGCTCATTATATTGTTTACAACCGTACAAAAGCATTTTGGTGAGAATTTTCCAGAAAAAAAGTTATTCGTGATGGAATTGAAGCGAGATAATGTGATTTCTTTATATTTGGCTGGAAAACCTCAAGTGGCTATCGTTAGAGCACTCCAGCATTTAAATGTGAATAAATCTTTTGAGTCTCGTACCATCGCTCGTTAACGTGATACTGCTGGCGTAGCCCGACGTCAAGGAAGTGGAGGGAAGAAAACAGCAACATTAGCAGAAATGGTTCGAAAAGTAAAGAAGCGACTTGATCGAAACCCGCGTCGCAGTGGCCGAAAAATGGCCTGTGAGCTGAACATATCACAATATTCCATTCGGCAAATATTGAAAAATGAGCCCAGGGTAAAGCCATTGAAATTCAAAAAAAGTGCAAGAACTTGCACCGCAACAGAAAGTACAGAAAATAGACTCAAAAGAGCTAAAGATTTGCATCACTTGGCCGAAAGTGGTGAACTGTCGAAATTGGAATTTGTAAACAAACAAAATGATTGTGTTTGCTTGCCAAAGAGGTCGGCTGGAAATGTGCACCTTCGGTTGGCCACCAGAACTCAAGCGCTGGCCATGGTGATGGTGTGGCCGTCATAACAGCCGATGGTCGCCCTCCGTTCGTATTAATCGACCGTGGCATCAGAATAAATGCCGAATATTATGGCGAAAATATTTTGGAGGGTGTATTAAAGCCTTGGGCACGCAAACATTTTGGCCGCAGACCTTGGACATTCCAACAGGATTCAGCACCATTCCACTCAGCACCGCCATACACGAATGGTTACAAAATGGGGTTCCTCGCTTCATTTCCAGCGCACAATGGCCACCAAAATCTCCGGATACCAATCCGTTAAACTATTGTGTCTCGAGTATTTTGAAAAGCAAGGTTGGCACTAAAAAGAACCAAAGTGTTGATCACCTCAAGCAAGCGCTACGCCGGGAATGGACCAAAATATCGCATAGCAACATTCGGGCAGCGTGCGACGGTTTCATTGGTCGTTTGAAGGCCATAATTCGTGTCGAAGGTGACCAATTCGAACAAATCTAAACTTATTCTAAAATTTGATGCTATTTCCGATATTTTTTGCTTTCATTCAATAAAATTTAAAAAAAAATGTAAAAATTATGGCATTAGACTTTGTTGCTGTTTTTTTTTAATCTCATCCTGTATAACCCTTCCCCTGATTCCAGTATCAAAAAAATGTTACATTTGTATATACCTTTTCATTTAAAACTTCTGCAACTATTTCCAAGTTTTCTTTCGTTTCCAAACTGTTTACTTTGTGTGTGTGTTTGTATCTGTTTGTGTATGTGACTGGAATAAAATGATAATTAGTATTTCTCGTCAAGTTCAAGGGTGTCGTTTTCATTTATTTTTGGTATTCTTTGGTAATATTAACTTAATATTAACACTCTGCGAGTAGAATCGATGTATCTTCCATGAAAGTTAATTTCGAATGTTTTATTTTAATATTGGGATGTGTGAAATTAGAAGACAACGTACATCACATTTTATGAGAGTCATAAGTATTCAAAATTTTGACCCTTCTTTGGGGGGAGGTACTTGATGGAGTGGACCGATATTGTCCATTGTCGCACCTGATCTAGCACTGACGCAAATATTAGGATTCGCAAAGTTGGAGCAAAATCGAATTATGGTTTCCATTTCTGTACAGAAAAAATATATTTTTTTGAAAATGTCGGAGTGGACCGATATTGCCCATCTACGAACTCGATCTATTTGACAAAAATATTGGTACATCACCAAGTTTGGACCATATCGTATACTCCTTTCGAGCGTATTGTGCGTCAGACAGACGGATGGACGTACTTCGCTAGATTGACTCCAAATATCCTGAAACGGATTTGGTACAAAGAGACCTAGGGTCTAAAACCGTTATTTTGACTGGGCACGTTTTGACCGTATCTCTAGCCATATTGGCTGAGGGTATAAAAAAATAGGGGGACAATAAAAGCCTAATGGGACATTATTTTTTATCAATTTTTTACAATATTTTTATTAGAAACTCTACGATGACAGTCGAATCCACGATTCGGGAAGCCCAGTGTTCTATTTTACTATTTGGCTGCCGTACATTCTGTGACAACAGTGAGGTTGCTACAAGTTAAGATTTACCTCCGAAGAGTTAGATTTGAATACAAAATATCAAATTTACACAATCGACGACTCATGAAAGATACACATTTCTTTAGCTCACACACAGTGTACTGACTGGCATTTAATTTCGTTTCAAAACTTTACAATTTTATTCAAACATCAAACTTTTTGCATTTACGTTTTAATATGTTGATGTGTTGTCCATGTTTGTTTGTTTGTGTGTGTGTGTCTTATTTCTTTGCTCATCTATGAACTATTTAAAAATTCACATAATTTTTCTATTTTCTTACTATTTTGAATCTTTTTGTTTTTTGTTCTGCATTTCATTTGAAATTTATTTTTTGTTCTTAGGTTTGCAAATAATACCATTATTATTTAATTAATTTTTTTTCATTAATTTTAATTTAACAACATCTATTTGTTTTTGTATAGAACTTTGGTATGCGTTTTTTGTTGTGTTTCTTTTAAGATTAAACTTTAGCTGCTTACGTGTTTCCTAGCTTGCTTGCTTGCCCGCTCGCTTGCTTTTTTACTGTCGCACTTATTTTCTCTCTAGCGTCTTTATTAAATACTAAAGAAAATGTGTTAAATCTCATTCATTGATATCCTCTTCGGATGATGAACTAGCAGCTGGTATAGTTGAAAACCATTGATCACGATTATTAGTTTTGACGGGGCTGGAAAGGAAAGGATAATACAAAAAGTTAGTTTGAATTAAAAATTAAAAACAGGGTTATTAATTCGAAGATCGAAGAAGACTTTTTTTCTAGAAATTCGATGAAAGCTTGTCTACAATTAAGGCAAATATCAGCTTTAAATGTTTTCATGTCATACGTATTGTTCCGATTGATAATTTCCACCTTTTGGCAGTTGCAATAAATTAAGGTATTTCCCAATTTAGTTGTTATTACCTGAAACGCTTTACTTTTACAATTTGTTGCGGTGGCATTATAAAGTAATAGGGGCGGAGGGATTGAGTTATATTAACAGGCCTCCTCAGGCTCCTTGGCCAGAAAAAAGGCAATTGAACAAAAGCTTTTAAACATATATAGCGAATAAAACCATTACCAAGCGCTTTGGAAGGTATGGATTTCGAGATGACTGTCTCCAACACACTATATGAAAAGGAAAAGATATACTGGATATTATTGAAGGGGATAACATCTGATACCAGAATTATGATAGACCAAAGCTGCCTCGCATTAATATTTCTATGGTGAAGGCGTTCCAGCCCTATTTCGTAGCTGAGCTGTTCAAAGTTCCGAGCAAGTTTGACCCTCTACTCGGTAATACTCCTCCCGATATCAAGATTTCAAATATACTGTATTTTTTTTTCTATACCACTTGTTAACAGCTCAACATCGAGAGTTGTCGTCAAACCCCACCGATCTCCTGCAATGCAATCTTTTGTAATTATTTTTTTTCCTCTCCAGTCCATAACTACGTCAAAAATGGTTTGCTAATAACCCAGAACACACAAATCTGCAAAAATATATATTTTTCCACTAGATTTCATTCTTAGAGTAATCTCCATAATTTTGACCCCCTCTCTTATCAGGAGACACGCAAGGGCTCCCACATCAAACAAGCTTCTTGTAGAACTCGTACTTTTTGAGTACTCCCACTCGAGATTATTATTCAGTCGAGCTATACTAGAAGTACTGATGATCTCGCCAACTATGTTATCAGCACGAATAATTGGAAAGATGGGTCTCATAATAGGTATTCTGTTTAAGGGAATAAACCACTTGGAGCTTTGACAACTGTTTCCCTGAATATTATCAACCTTATTGACACATGAGTGTAACGGCAATGGACGCAATTTAAGTCGACCTTTTTCCGGATATACATAATCGGAAAGATCTATGGGCCGCGGAGCTCGAACTTCTGTTAGTAATTTTTGTAGAGAAGATCCGGTTTTTCTAAAGGCATCCCTTTTTCAGAATATAAATTGTAGTTCTGTAAATTAAGGCCTTCGTTAGAACTACCAATCGTTGCCTTTATACCCTGTACTACTCTGTGGAGAGAGTATTATAAGTATAATTTGGCACACCCCGTAATATCAGTTCTAGCCTCACTAAAAGCTCAAAGAGCAGAATCGATCTAGCTATGTGAGTCCGTCCATTTTTTCTTTTTCTTGCTAAGTTTTTTTCTCAGAATCTGTTTTAGGTTAAGAATATAATGGGTTTATATTTTAGAGATGATTCCAAAACTATTTTTATTATCCAAAGGCCTGGGGTGAAAATGGGATACATTGGTTAGGTACCTTGTGGTACCTCCCCCACAAAGGGTCAACATTTTGAATATCCATGAAGCTCATTTAACGCAATTAACATCCGATTCCATTCAGCCTTGGTACATCACAATATTTTTGTCAACACAAGATCTATTATAAAAATGATAGAGATCGGACCATTCCTTCTGGTACCTCCCCCACAAAGGGTCCAAGTTTTAAATAGTCAATACGATTACAAATTCTGAAATAAGCATCCGATTCTCTTCAAATTTTACACATGCCATAAAAATAACACAAGATCTGCTGTGAAGATGGAATACATCGGTCCACTCCGCCTGGTACCTCCCCCACAAAGGGTCAACATTTTGAATATCCATGAAGCTCATAAAACGCGAAATTAAAATCAGATTCTATTCAGACCTGGTAAATCTCAACGTTTCCATCAACGCAAGATCTGCTATAAATATGGTAGAGACCGGATCATATCTTCTGGTACCTCCCCCACATACGTTTTAAGATTTTGAAAAACAAAACGATGAAAGAAAGCGAAATAAGCACGGAACTATTTTCAAGAAGATGATATATATCTGCGAACCCCTTCCGGTACCTCACCCACAAAGGGTCACAAGTCAAATCAGCGATTCTTTACTACTTGCTATACCTAAATGATTCTCTCAAACATAAACCTCAGATGAATATGGAATTTATGATTTCGCATAAAATTTGTTATAAATGTTCGAATAATTTTGCCAATATTTTTATCTGTATTAGATGAAGTAGAAAATGGAATACTTCGGTCGACTATATATGTGGTATCTCACGCGAACTTCAACATTTTTTAAAAATTGTCACAAACGTCATATAAAGTAAAGGAAGTAACCAATATAGTCCAAATCTGGCACGTCCCAATATTTATATCATATTTATGTAGGTCTGATACCAAATGGACAATATTAGCCCATTCCTTCGGAGCCTACTCTATAGAGGGTCATCATTTTGTATAATTATAACAGAATTCAAAATATATTTAAATTATCGAACATTGGCTGAGGGTATACATCTGTTGGCAAAACTGACTGATACTTTTTAACCTGTTTTTGTTTAGTTCGATACTTTTTGCGCCTTATAAATTGACCCATCTTTATAAACTACCTTTCTATAATAAACTGAGACAAATTATTTAAAATATTGGAAAAATTATAAAAAATATTTTATCTACTCACGCATTCTTTTTCGAATTTGTTGGCAATGTATGCGAGATGCGATAATATCCCGTATCCGGTTCATCTTTACATTCCTCCAATGATTTGCGTTGCAGTGTCATTGTCTCCTGGGGTCCCCCGCCCACATTTGTCAATGCCTCCGCATTCAAATAGTATTTCGAGCTTTGGGCTATTTTACAATTTTCACATTCGCTCAGATAGTCATCATCCAAACTGGTGTCGTTGGGTAGAAAATGTTCCTTGGGATTTAGACAGTTTTTGGATGTGGTGCACACAGGTAATTGTTTTGTTGCGTGTGAATTGCTATTGTTTGGCGATGTTGCAGCAGCAGCGGCAAAGGGTGAGTTGGAACGCCCGACATTATTACTATTCGACGGAGATGAAGAAGAATTATGTGAATGTGGTGGCCCATTCAAATGAGAATCCTCTGGACAATAATTAACAGCCAATGTGGATGTTATGGTTTGGGTTTGCATATTATTAATATTGGTTGGTTGTTGCTGCTGGGCATTGGTGTTATTACTGCCAGCAGCAGCAGCTGAAGATGATGAGGCACCATTTGACAATGTGGAGGGGGAATTGGCAGAATTGGAGACATACTGCTGCTGTTGATGATGCTGCTGTTTTGGATAAGCTGGCATAGAACACTGCGAAACCGCATATTGATTGTTGGCGGAGGAGGGCGAAGACGACGACATTGTTGCTGTGGCATTGTTTGCTGACTGATTACAATTGATATTCGAGGGAGCTAGGCTGGAATTGTGTACATCGCGTTGTTTCGAACGTAATATCTTTGGCAGTGTAGTACTCTTGGATGTTGTTGCAGACGCTGATGCGGATGAGGGCGTGGATTGGGATCCATGCATTTCGTTTAAATACTGATGACTATTGTAGGCCGTATCGGCGGCTGGCAGTAGACCACCATAGCCATGGCCATGGTAGTAGTTGTTGTTCGCTTGCTCACTGCCCGTCGGCGGTAGACTAATGACCGACGGCACCTTACTGACCACACTGTTGATGGTGCTATTGAGCGACATCTTACCACCTCCCACATTCTTTGGCAGCGTGTATGTAACATTGTTTTGCAAAGGATAAAATGTTGAAGAGTTAATTTTACTGGTGGAACTGGTGAACGAGGATGTGGTTGACGTAGTACTCAATGGTAGTGTCAATGAGGGGGGCTGTATTTTCATAATGTGATCATGATGATCCTTGTTGTTGGCTGACATTTGCTGTCGTTGCTGATTCGTAGATGGTGTAGATGTGCAGGTGGTGGTGTTGGTGGTCAGGCCAATTAGAGCAGCCGATGATGGGGAAGAGGACGAGGAGGTGGAGGAGGAAGAAGCAGAGGGCTTACTTAGTGTATAAATGGTTTGTACAGCGGTTGTGGAAGAGGACGAGGAGCAGGTGTTCGTTGAAGAAGATGCTGCTGCCGAATATGGGGAGGAGGGATTGATGTGATTGGAACTACTACTATTGGAATAGGCGCCCGATGGGTGGTTATTCAAACAATTGCCAGATGTTGAGGATGAGTTAGTGTTGTTGCCATCATTCATTTTATGTGATGAGCTATTTCGATGTGAAGTATTTGTTGTTGCCCCAACTGAGGTGGCGGCGATCACATTAGTGTTGTTGTGTTGCTGTTGTTGTTGTTGGTGATGGTTGTTGTGGTTGTTATTGTGTCCCGACGAGGATGATGAACTCTTTAAATTCGTTAGACTTTTATGTAATTTCGGTGGTAAGGCTGGATTCATGATATCATTGTTATAGCCTTTCAAGTGGTGGCCTGCTCCGGGTCCATGGGCAAAACTCAAATAGGCATCAACCTTTTACGGGGGAAAGTGTTGGTTTTTTTATCATGAATTTCCATTTCCAGAAAGACACACGCACACACACAGACAAACATTAAACATCAATCCATCCACATTTTAAAACGTTCACAAAAAGAAAGTTTTAAGAAAAATGTTTGGTTTTTTATTTCGATTTAAGTTTGTTTGTCTTTTTTAATTTATTTGATTTGAATTGATTTTTTGGTTTTTGTTTCTTGTACATAGAAGAGAAATGATATAATTTTGTGGTGAATGGTAGAGTTGTGGTGGTGGTGGTAGTTATGGTCGTGGTGGGGGGATTTAAACAGAGAGAGAGGATATAGCAGTCTCTACTAATTATATGAAATTTGTAGTGCAATAGGAAATGATGATTGTTATTGTCTGCGTAATGAGGTAATGTTCTGTAAAATCAAAATTTGTTGATGAATGGAAAAGAAATTGATTGATTGCGTTTATTTTTAAGATGAGAATATAAAATACAATGATATATTGGAGTATCAGATGACTTGTTCAGGGCTGTGACAAGTCATTTGATATATGATTTTTTTCTGTACATAAGATGCAGTGATATAAGAATGACAACATTTAGATTTTATTTAACTTTTTTGAGGTTATGGCAGTTATTGTTGAAGTTATGTGAATCAAATATAATTATAAAAAAGGCAAACGTTTGCAAGTTAGAGAAAAACACATATAAATCCTCCGCTCAGCTTGTTTTCCAAAATTAAATCGATATATCTTATTTTCAGACTAACATTGGTTTTAGGTGAGCAATTAGATTGAAATTCAAAAAGGGCAAGAACTTACACCGCAACGGGAAGAAAATAGACTCAAACAAGTAAAAACGCAGTGAATACCCTCCACCTGTTAAAATCTTTAAAATATCTAATATCGCAAGGTGCCGATATATGGAGGGATATACGATAGTGTGGACCTATATAGACAATTACTTTTCAGGGGCTAAAGTGCTCACAAAGAACTCCTTGTGTGGATTTTCAGACAATACTATTGGAAAATATGGCTAAAATCATCAAAATACCAAATATCGCGGGTACCATTATATGGGGGATATACGATATCGTTAACCTATGTAGAGAATCCTCTGTCAGGGGGTAAAGTGCTCACAAAGAACCTCTTGCGTACAATTTCAGACAATTCCGTTTAAAAATGTAACTAAAATCATCAAAATACCGAATATTGGGAGTACCGTTATATGGGGGGCTAACGATATAGTAGACCTATATAGATAATTCTCTTCCAAGGGGTAAAGTACCCACTATGAACTCCTCGTGTGGAATTTCAGACAATTCCATTGAATAATGTGGCTGAAATCATCAAAATACCGAATATCGGAGGGTACCATTATATGAGGCTATACAATATCGTGGACCTATACAGATAATTATCTTTCAAGGGATAAAGTACTCATAAGGAACTTCTTGTGTGGATTTTCAGACCATTCCATTAGAAAATGTGGCTAACATCATCAAAATACCGAATATCGGGAGGTACCATTATATGGGGCTATACGATATCGTGGACCGATATAACCCATCTTCGAATTTGACCTGCCTGCGGACAAAAGAGAGATCTGTGCAAAATTTTAGCTTCCTATCTCTTTTAGTTTAGACTGTAGCGTGATTGCAACAGACAGATCTTCTCCGACATTATCAGGAACACTGCTATCAGATATTTGATTACTCTAAGTGATAGAAGGGAGCTTGTTCTTCTTCTCGAGATTACCGGCCAGATGGCCTCAGATATCGACTGAAAAACGCTACATTTGTCATTAAGCTTATATAAGCGTTTAATGATTAGATTTTGACAGAATACGCCAGCACTGGCGCCTTCTTCCATCTTGGTCAGACAGAGGACCAGAGGAGATCTACCAGCATCCCAAACATCTCTTTCCGGCCGTGCATGGCCAAAACGCGAAAAATCTCATCCTACTCCTTAGCACCACGTTCAAGCAGACTTAGGAGTGCTCTTGGGAGCTCCAGATATCAGTAAGGACTCGGCTCTTTGCACAGTGGTTAATTAGGAAATGAGCGACGTGGATCGCATCTCACAAGACAAGGCACCCATAGGTCAGAACAGGTGAGGCAACTGTGACAGCTTGTGGTCTAAACACTAAACACATCTACCACCTATCAGCACCGCTACGTCATCCTCATACGCTATTGTGGTTATCTCTCTACTTACAGCTTTCCTAGTGGAAGTATCTCCCAATCCTGAATATATTATCCTAATTTTTAGTATTCTATGAATCCATTCAATCAGGGTAGAGGAAATACCAGAGGCATATAAAGTATTGTGGATTGTCTCCAGCTTCACGTTGTTGAAAGCCCCCTCTGTATTGAGAAAAGCTGTACATTTATAAAGTTTTATTTTTCAATATTTTTCTCAATATTTCCGACAACTTCGTGTGGAGCTGTCTCCACTGACCGATTTTCATTAGAAAGGAAGAGGGGGATCTATAGTCTTTGGGTAATATGTGACTAGGTTTCCCGGCTTTGGAAATATAGGTCACAGTTACCTCTTTCCACAGACAGAACAGATGTATGATGGCATTTTATGGACTTTAAAAACAAGTCATAGTTTTTGTAGCTATGAAATTTCGACATTCGAGATATTCATATATATTTTGTGTAACTTCAGGATTATGAAATAAGGTTTTGAACGCCAAGGCGTCAATTTCATCAAACTTGGTATTGATTGCTGATACATTTTTTCTGATTCTTTTTCCAATAATTTAATATTTCTATATAGTCTTTATAAATTTATAAAGAGGCAAACAACTCCAAATGATCTCAAAAAAGTTAAATAAATTGTAAGAAAATAGAACTGTTGCAAAACATTCAAGCCGTTACTTCATACATACCTTGCTATTCAAGTAGGCAGCAGCTGCTGGCGATGTAATCGTGGTACTATCTACCATCGATGCTCGTGTACTGCCGCTACTGGCACTACGCAATCGATCACCACTGCTGCTGGAACTACGTTTCGTTACACGACCCAAAACTATGGGCGACGAGTCGTCATGATGTTGGGGTGGCAACATTAACGACGACGAATGATGGCTGTGGTGATGGGCGTGGCCATGATGATGATGCTGCTGCTGTTGAGATTGTTGTAGATTTGAACCCGACGACGCCGATCCTGTTGAATTTATAAGTTCACCCGACGAGATGGTGGCAATTTTGCCCTCATAATAACAATGTCCTCCGACGTTGGATGAACGTTTCATGGTGTTGTTGGCAGAATTTGGTATCATACTGTTGTTGCTGCTGCCATCAGTTTGTGACGATGATTGTGACGATTTTGTGGATCTCTGTTGTGGGTAATTTAGGGAATTGGTATTCGAGTTAGCTTGCAGTCGCGCCGAGGATGACGAATGCTGACTGGGTGAGGGTGAATTCGAGGCAGACGAGCTAGAATTCAATTTGTTACTAAGGACAGTGAAAAATGCATTGTTGGTGGCATTTTGAGCATTGCTAAGTTGTGTGGAACCCATGTAGGACATTGGCACATGCTGTACAGGGCACTGACAAGTTGGCTTTTTGGATGAGGCCGACGACGAGGAAGCATTCGAAGATGGGGTTGTGGATGACGATGCATTGCTGTTGGCCGATGAATTACCAGCCAATTTGGCTTCGGCTTTGGATGATTTGCTACTGAGATTTTGCGTTAATGGATCTGCAACGGCATAATATCTGGGCATGGTACGATGATAACGTTTCGACGAAGAGCTAGAGGAGGAGTTTGATGACTTGGAGCCACCATTTGAGCTGGATGTTTTACTGGATTGAGAATGTTGCAGAGGCAAAGTGTTGTGGCCTGTTGTTGACATTGGCATAAGATGATTTTCCGAAGATGTTGCTGCAAATGTTGAAAGATCATTTGTGGCATTGGATGTATCCACATCTATGGCAGGCGTTGAAATGGCTGCTGTCAGCGATGGTGAAGCATTGCCAAATTGGGTAGGAGATGCTATTACTTCACCGCTCTCCGCAACGTTGCCATTTGCACAGGGAGGAAGTGAGTGATAGCCACGACTAGAACCTTGACTTACATTCACCTCCACATCGACAACATATTGTTGTAGGGGCGGTGGTTCTGTGGCTCGCTGTAAACGACGTGACACAGTATTGCCACCGCTGCTGCTGCTACTCACAGTTGTGCCATTTAGATGACAGTTTTTATAGCCACAATCATTGGCATTTGTGGAACCTCCCAAATTTTGCACAGCCCCAGAATGATGCTGTTGCCGACTTAAGGAGGCCGTTGCCGATGAGGCATTTGCCGTCAGGGTTGATGTCATTATTTGAGCTGACTGTAAAACACTTTGGGTGGTTGATGGCTGTTGTTGTTGTTGCTGCTGCTGTTGTTGTTGGGTTACAGCCATTTGATGTTGTTGCTGGTGTTGGGAGACCATTGGTGTCATTGTCTGTACACAAATGGAATTACTTTGGGCTATGTGTAGGCGATTTGTATTGTTGGCATTATTCCCAACACATGTGGTGGACGTGGCAGCCAACATTTGCTGTTGTTGTTGTTGTTGCTGCTGCTGCGCCTGATGATGTTGCTGCTGCTGCTGTTGGTGATGATGCTGCTGCAATTGCATTTGCTGTGATGTTTGCATTACGGCAGCCGAATTATTTACTTCATCTTGTAAACTATAGGGTGGTTGATGGTTCTCTCCGGTGGCTATGGTGGTTATATTTCCTCCACTATTTATATTGATATTTATTAAATTGGTGGTACTTTGGGTAATTTGATGTGATTGTGGCTGGTTGCTGGCCGCCGCCGCTGCAGACACCTGGCCCTGTGGGGCGGCCAAGACATGGGCCTGTATTGTGGGCACAACATGGCCCGTCTGATGGCTCATCTGGCCATGGGACTGTTGTTGAGGCTGGGCGTGATGTTGTATTTGTTGCATTTGCTGGGCTCGGCGATTAATATCCGCCGTCTGTAGCTCCACAGAGTTCATGCCCATGGTGGCTCTCTGATTGGCAGCTACCTGAGCTGCCGCAGCAGCTGCAGCACACTGGGCACTCAAAGCCTCCGCCTGTGATATGGCCACAGCCTCATCGTAGGGTGGTGGAGCTTCACCGCGTGGGAAATAACCACTTGGTGGCTTCCACAAGGGATAGTGGGCTGCCCCACCATATGTGTAATCCATGCTGCTGAGGTTGCCCTCCATATAACCCATATTGCCAGCAATATAACTGAAAGGTAAAAAGCAAATATCAGTTATGGAATTGCATATGAGAAGTTCATTCAAACTCACCCTATACTTCCCACAATGCTGCGTTGATCCTCTGCCGTTTGCCGATTTTCACGGGCCCTCAATTTCTTACGTCTAAATCGATTGATAAGGAAAAATATCATGGACAGTGACAGCGTGGCAGTAATGCCACTAACGATTAGTCAAACCCCAAAATCCGTACTGCCATCGGCCAGCTGATCATCGAGACAAATGACCTCGCAACAGTTATTGCCCGAACCAACCGTTTGAAAGGATTTACATTTGGTGAAAGCCTCACACAGAACCATTTTGCAGGCCTTCGGCAGACCACTATCACAAATGCACAAACGGCATGAATCCGGTCCGGGCATATAATGCATACCCGTCTCATATTGTTTGCCATTATAGTCTCGGCAATGGGTACCGGTCATTAGGCTTGAGCTGGCAGCGAGTGCATCTGAAATGAGTAGGAAAATGGAAATTCGATTAGTTCATGGATTAAATTGAAATTTATGTAGGGAAGATTTTTATGAGGAGTTAGAATGTTGTCGAGGACAAAACACGTTTGGTGATGTTTTTAGTTATACCCCACACCACAAGGTGGTCAGGGTATTATGTGTTTGTGCATTTGTTTGTAACATGGAGAAGGAAGCGAGATAGACCCATAGTTACTTTTGAGGATCTTCATAGAATCACTTTCTGAGTCGATTTATGCATGTCCGTCTGTACGTCCGTCTGTCCATGTATTTCTGTGAACAAAATGCAGTCGCATATATTATACAATTGAGCTGAAATTTTCCAAACAATATTTTTTGGCCCAAGGACGAAACCTATTCAAATTAGTTATAATCGGATCAGATTTAGATGTAGCTCCCATATATATTCAACCGATTTCGGGTTTATTGCGCACCAAATGACCAATATAAGTAACAAAATGCCCTGAATTTTATTACATCCCACTGAATTCAGTCTAGAAGCATGTATATCAAATTTGGAGAAAATCTGTTCAGATATAGCTATAGCTCCCATATACATGTTTCATCTGATTTGGGGTTTAAAGTCTCTCAAAAGCGTAATATGCATTCCACAACAATGAAATTTGGTACCGAACATCAGATACTGCTCGAAAATACTCCTGTGAAATTTTATCGAGATCGGTTCCAATTTGGATATAGCTCCCATGTTTATCTTTAAGAGATTCCGGGTTAATTTTCTACCAAATGACTAATATCACTCCAAAAGTCCAGAATTTTAGTATATCCGACCGAATTCAGTCTAGAAACCAGTACCACAAATTTCATGTAAATCGGTTCAGATATAGCTATAGCTCCCATATATATGTATTATCCGATTTAGAGTTTAAAGTCCCTCACCAGAGTAATATGCATTCCACAACAATGAAATTTGGTACCGGACATCAGATACTGCGAGAAAATACCTCTGTGAAATTTTATCGAGATCGGTTCAGATTTGGATATAGCTCTCATATATATCCTTAATCCGATTTCAGGTTTATTGTGCACCAAATGGCTAATATCAGCCCAAATGGGCTGAATTTTGGCAATTAAGACTGAATTCATCCTAGAAGCAAGTACATCAACTTTGATGAAAATCTGTTCAGATATAGCTATAGCTCCCATCTGCCAAATTATAACAAGATCGATTCAGATTTGGATATATCTCCCATATATACCTTCAACCGATTTCGGGTTATTTGTCCACCAAATGGCCAATTTCAGTCCAAAAATCATGAATTTTGGTACATCCGACCGAATTCTGTCTAGAAGCAAGTACATTGAGTTCGGTGAAAATCGGTTCAGATATTGCTATATCTCCCATATATATGTTTCATCCGATTTGGCGTTTAAGTCCCTCACATTCGAAATATGCGTTCGACATCAATGATCTTTGGTACCAGATATCTTATAGAGCTCGGAAATACCTCTTCCAAATTTTATCGAAAACGGCTAAGATTTCGATATAGCTTCCACATATACCTTCAACCGATTTCGGGTTAATTGTCCACCAAATGGACAATATCAGTCCCAATGGCCTGGATTTTGGTACATCCGACCGAATTCAGTCTAGAAGCAAGTATATCAAATTTGGTGAAAATCGGATCAGATATTGCTAGAGCTCCCATATATATTTTCTACCGATTTCGGGTTAATTGTGCACCAAATAGCCAATATCAGTCCAAATGACCTGAATGATATTCAAATAAATTCTTTTGTTATGCGGGCTCTACTAATTATGCATAGTGGTGTAGGGTATCATAAAGTCGACCCCGCCCGACTTCTGACTTTTCCTTACTGGTTTTTCAGATGATTTAACCGAGATCTGCGACATTAATTCAAAATGGACACGTACAACTCCACTTGATAGAAACCCGGAGGCTTACAATCTTCGAAACTCATTTCAGGCCATTTGGAGTAGATCTAGTCGAGTTTTTGGAGGATTCTCAAAAAATGTTGAATCATGAAGATGAGTGCTAGCCACATGTTCCTAAGGAATTGGCTGTAATTTGAAATAAATGGATGCCGCCCGAATTATTGGTATTTTGAAAATCCACATTTTCCGATGTGCTATTTCTGATTTCAAAAACATGGACATAATCCTCCCCAGATTTTAGTCACTTTTGTGTTCATGGCCACATTTTCCAACCGTGAAGTGCATAAATACCCCCTGTTTCAAAAAATAGTAAGACGCTCTATGCGTTTCTTTGTTCTGGTTACACCATGTGTGCTTTCTGTACTTTTTTTGTCTAGATTTCATAAAATAACCCAAAACAAACAGTGAATGACATTGAAATGAAGGGTTAAAAGTACCTTCATATTTTATTCTTTTCTCCTTTTCCCCCCAAAATAAAATGCAATTCAAATTTCGACATATGTGTCACATTAAACCATACTTGAATGACAACAACAACAGAAACAGCAGTAGCAACGACAGGTATATAAAGAAACAACAATATTTCCATCATTAAATGAAAAACACATTTGCACTTTGCTTTTTGGTTGGTGTTGCCGTGTGCGGCGGTGGTGGTAGTGGTAGAGAGGAAATGACAACATTAAACAACAACAAAAACAACAGAAAAAAAGAAACATATTCAGGTGTCAACTACAAAACATGTGTGTTACAAGCTCTGAGCCAGCTAGCTACTAGCTGCATGGCTGGCTATACTCCCATGAAGGGCCCTATGTGACAGTTTTTGTGTATGTGTGTCGTGACCAAACAAGTGACGTTGTTGTTGTTTTTGTTTTGTCGGTTAGGGTCTGTTGTAAGTGCATAAAACGCAGTCACATGTAATATGCTTGACTGACTGACTAAGTAAATGGCTAGATAGATGGGTGGAAGGAAGTGAACCATGTACATGAGCAGCATGTTGGATTACATTGCTAGTTTCCCAAAAGGTTGGCTAACTGGATAGCTGGATGAATGGACGAATGAATGTTCATGCCCACGATGAAGACGACATTTGAATACATTGCTTGTTTCCCAAAATAGTACCGAAAAAAATCAAGCAAAAAGGGCTATATTAGGTCGACCATGTGATACCCTAAACCACTAGAATGTAAAAAGTTCATGGGCCGTAGTTTGAGAAATGTTTCACAAATTAATTACCCAAAAACGATCATAAATGTCGACCATTTCAGCATTTCTGTTTTCGATTAGAATTTTATAGCATACTTTTAGGCGCTAACTATATTTTTTTTCCAATTAAAAGAATTTTATAGTAATTGGACCCCGACCCCGTCTCTAAACACGAGATTGCGAAACGACATATATCAAATTAACTTTTTCTATATACAAAATGCACTGGAATGTATGTGACAGGTATTTTTTCAAAACTAATATTGCCAACACAAAATCAACCTTCCCACACTTGTCAAACAAAAACAAGTTAAATGGGTAAAACTTAAGTTAATCTCGGCTAGTTGACCTTTTTCACCGTTTTTAATGTTTGAATTGTGGCCAAATCGACTATTCCTAAAATGATAAGATTTTGAAGATCCATTATTTTGAGCGGAGTTAATCTATCCACAAAGAAACACAAAATATAAAATCACAACTAATTTTCTCGAAAACAATCAAAATCAAGATATCAAATTAGATACTTAGGCAAAAGTAAAGTGGACCTACAATGAACATTTTTTGCGGGCCTAAATCTAGTCACTGAAAACCCGTTTAGATTTGTTCGAATTGGTCACCTTTGGCACGAATTATGGCCTTCAAACGGTGGTATTTTGGCCCATTTCCGGCGAAGCGTTTACTTGAGGTGATCGGCACTTTGGTATTTTTTAGTGCCAACCTTGCTTTCCAAAATACTCCAGACACAATAGTCCAAAGAATGGGTATCCGGAGATTTTGGTGGCCATTGTGCGCTGGAAATGAAGCGTGGAACCTCGCTTTTTAACCATTCTTGGATGGGTCGTGCTGAGTCCTGTTGGAATGTCCAAGGTCTGCGGTCAAAATGTTTGTATGCCCAAGGCTCCCGAAAATTTTCGCGATAATATTCGGCATTTATGGCGGCCCACACTATCACCATGGCCGGCGCTTGAGTTCTAGTGGCCAACCGAAGGTGCATATAGTCTGTTAACCTCTTTGGAAAGTAAACACTATCATTTTGTTTGTTTACAAACTGCTGGACAACGAATGTTTCTTCATCGGAGAAAACCAAATTCGGCAGTTCACCACTTTCGGCCAAGCAAATCAACTTTTTAGCTCTTTTGAGTCTATTTCCTTTCTGTTGCGGTGTAAGTTCTTGCACTTTTTGGAATTTCTATGGCTTTACCCCGAACTCATGGGGGTTTCCGGAGATTTTGGTGGCCATTGTGCGCTGGAAATGAAGCGTGGAACCTCGCTTTTTTACCATTCTTGGGTGGGTCGTGCTGAGTCCTGTTGGAATGTCCAAGGTCTGCGGTCAAAATGTTTGTATGCCCAAGGCTCCAGAAAATTTTCGCGATAATATTCGGCATTTATGGCGGCCCCCACCATCACCATGGCCGGCGCTTGAGTTCTGGTGGCCAACCGAAGGTGCATATAGTCAGTTAACCTCTTTGGAAAGTAAACACGATCATTTTGTTTGTTTACAAACTGCTGGACAACGAATGTTTTTTCATCCGAGAAACTAAAATTCGGTAGTTCACCACTTTCGGCCAAGCAAATCAACTCTTTAGCTCTTTTGAGTCTATTTCCTTTCTGTTGCGGTGTAAGTTCTTGCACTTTTTGGAATTTCTATGGCTTTACCCCGAGCTCATTATTCAATATTTGCCGAATGGAATATTGCAATATGTTCAGCTCACGAGCCATTTTTCGACCACTGCGAAACGAGTTTCGATCAAGTCGCTTCTTTACTTTTCGAACCATTTCTGCTGATGTTTCTGTTTTCTTCCGTCCACTTCCTTGACGTCGGGCTACGCCAGCAGTGGTACGAGACACAAAAGATTTATTCAC